AAGGAAAACTCCCCTGGGAATGGATTTCACCCTCTTTTTGCTTCTGAGAGTCCTGACAAGCTGTACGTTCCCCCTATCTTTTTACCAGCAGGCTTTATCCCAGTGCCTCTCGCTGCTCTCGTCACCCCTCTGTACTCCTGCAGGATGTCAGTCCTCTCTTCTCTCTTTGTGTCATTTTGACTTCCTGATGCTTCAGGAAACCAAAGGGTTTTTGAAGCCAAAAACTGTCACCTTGACCTTTCTTGTGCGTGTTGGACCGTGGTTCCTCAGACACAAACAGGCTCTTCTTACCCGTCACTCCTGAGCAGACACACCTCTGAAGTGTTTCCCCTTGCCCATAATCTGCTCACAGCAAAGTGATTAACAAGCAAAATGCTGCTTTTCCCCCCCAGCTTTGGGAAGGTGGAGGCTTTTGCAGCCCTGAGTGTGTCCACAGGGCTGGGTCCTGGCTGTGCCTCGTTGTCCTGCATCAACCCATGCTGGCCCTGAAACACCGGTTTCATTTGTCTGCTTGTTTCTGGCAAAATAATTAACTTGGGCTTATTCAGCATCGTAGCAGGTCCAGAACCAAAGTGTCTTCCCTGAGTACAACTTCTTCCATGTTTAAAGGACTGAGTGCTGTGGTGGAGTTTGGGCTGTGGTTTTCCTCTCCAGTTCTACACAAGCAGCCGAGGTGGAATGTGAGGAGCCAGGTCTGGTCCCCAGGCAGGGCTGAGCTGCTGATAAGGGGTGATGAATCTGCTGGAAGTGAGGAAAGTGGGAATTGGTCACAGATGTGAAGTGAATTGGAGCCCTTTGTGCCCTTGAGCTCCAGGGATGTGATACTGCTGCCCAGGTAGGGGTTTTTCTCTTTGCTGCAGGCTGGGAAGGGGCAGGAGCAGTTGAGCAAAGAGTTTCCAGGTCTCTGTGCAGCTGGAATGACCCCTTCACCCACAGAGCTGATACCCTCTCACTGCCTGCCAGGCAAAAATCTGAGCTCATCCCAGGGAAAATCCCTACAACAATGGGGACAGTGACTCCGAGCCTGAGGGTGACAGAGGAGGATGAGGAAGGAGCAGGCATGGATGTAGCAAGAGAAAACAAGGATGTGGTTTTCCTGGGCAGAGCTGCTGTGGGACAGAGGGGTTGGTGACCAGCCCTGTGACCGTGCCACCCACGAGGGTCCTGCTGGGCAGGAAGGTGCCATTCATTCATTCCCAGGGGCTCTCGGCTCCAGTGGGTGCTGGGCTGACGCCTCTTCCCAGCCTTTTCCCTGCCAGGCTGCTGGCACGTGCTGCCTGGCTGTTTGCGTGGGGCTGCCTGGCATTTAGCTGCGGCTCCCGGAGGCTGCCGGCACGTGGATGCTGCCACGGCCGCCGGGATCTGGGAGAGACAGCGGCAGGGACCCGCGGCTCCCGGGAAACGCTGTGCCCTCCGCTTGGAAAAGCCTAGTCAAGGGAAATGTCACCCCTCCCCGAGCGCTGTTTTGGTGCCTGGGTGTATTTTTAACAACAGGCCTGACTCCAGGCTGTGTTTGCCGTGATTCAGAGGCTCGGCCCCGCTCGCCAACCCGGCGCAATCTGGCGGAGCCGCTGGTGCTGCGGGGACGGGGCTGTTGGCTCCGGCTCCTGCCGTGCGAGGAAAATGTCACCGTGGGCTTGTGCCAGGAAAGCAGGGCTGTGTCAGACCCACCTGGGGGGCTGGGCTCTCGGGGGGGAGTTTGTGTCCCCATGTCTTTCGCTGTCCCCTGCTCGGTCCTGGCCACCAGGAGGGGACCATACGGATGCTGTGCTCGCCTGCCCTGAGGCTGCTCCCTGGAGAAGGAAACTGGGAAGATTTAAAGCTAAGCTTAAAACACATCTTTCTTAAAGCTACAAACAGCAGGAAGAGTGTGGTGTCCCTTCTCCTCACAAAAAAAACCCCATGCCCTGTGGCTTCTATGCAATGAGGTGGCTACAAGTGCCCTGTGCTGGAGGTTTGGGTGCCCCGGGTGCTCCTGGGGAGGTTTGTACACTCCTCTGTGGGCACTGAGGGGGATGCCCTGTGCCCTGCCACAACATCCCATCCTTCCTGTTCCTTTCCCCATTCCACTCCCTTGGGGGGCTCCTCCAAAGGGCAGGCATGGCTTAGCCATAACTGTGGGGAGCACAGTGGTGTGGTGCTGTTTGATTTTTGGACTCTGGTTTAAAGGAACTCAGGGGTGAGGTGTTGAACACCTTCAGGTCTCACTTGTGGTGCAAGTTTGGGAGAAAAGGCTGTGGGCAGGGGGGATGTCAGGTACCACCACTGGTGGATGCTCCAGGCTGTCTGGGGTGGGGCTGCTCCCCCTTCAGCTCCAGGGACTGGGCTGGTTAATTGTCTCAGCCCTGGGAAGCAGTGCAAGAGAAGCACAAAAAGTATTTACTGGCCTGTTACTTGGAGACTGACCACTGATTTTACTTGGCAATGTTACAGCTTTCAGATGTGTGTGTCTCTGTATGTGTGTGATATATACAGATATATACACATACACCCGGAAGCTGCAAAATAGGTGTAAATGTATAGATATATTTACTTGGTGGGGTTTTTTTTTGGGGGGGTCTTTGTTGGTTTTTCTTCTTCTGTTCAGGGAGGTAGAGGAGAACCAGGTGTTGAACTGACACTCTACCAGCTCCTATGGCAGAGCAGGAATTTGTCTGGGAATCAGCCCAGTGCCTGGGAGCTTTTCAACAGCACGGGGCTGTGCTGGGAGCTAAGGCATCTCCAGTGGGACCAGTTCTCAGCTGGTTTGGTGGCTCCCTGTGTTGGTGAGGCCTCTCCACTTTCCCCCTCATCAGAGAGTCTCTGAGTGCCAGGGATGGGAGCAGACCTGGTGGTGCTCTCCAGGCTGGGCTGTGGGCTCAGGAACGCTCCTGCCCTGCACCCTCTGAGCTCTCTTTGCCAGAGGGATCTTGCACTAAGAAACTTGGCATTTTCAGCATTGGCTCTCAACAGAAACCTTCCAAATATCCAGGTCATGTGTGTGCTAAGCAAATGGCAAAGCTTTGGAAATCCAAACACAATATTTCTCTCCAGATTTGTTGGTTTACCAGACTGTCCAAAGAGCTGGTTATTGCTCCCTGGAACAAAACTGAGTGTGTTGTACCCCTCAAATCCCAGGAGCAGGGAGGGACAAGCCCTGACATGGCTTTGTGGCCCAGGGGACCTGTGGGGAAGGACAGGACAGGACTGGACAGTCACTAGTGTCTGGGCTGAGACCCTGGGACAGACCCCACTGCTGGGGGAGTGGGGACCCCTATAAATGCATGGAGACACCATAGGGACTCACACACTGTGTGTATATAAATGCACATATATATATGTATAAAGGGGTGTATATAGAGGATATGTGCTGCCATGTGGATAACAGGTATATGTGTGTTTATGTATCAAGTGGTTTCTGTGTATATAAAAAGGGGTGTGTGTATATGTATAAAAAAGGGGTACATATGCACAATGTGTACATGCATATATATATTTGAGGATGTGCATGTGTGTGTATATATATAAAAACCTACATATAAAGGATATGTACATGCATATAGATAAAGTGTGTGTGTGTATATATAGAGGGACACATAAAAAAAATATATACAAAAATATACACATGTGTGTGTATATACATATATATTTATATTTATGTAGAGAGGGGCACATGGCTGTGCTGTGCCCTCACAGCCACGAGCCTCTGCAAAGCCAGACTTTGAAAGGCAAAGAACAGATCGGGGAGAAATAGGATTTTAAAAACCCTCTTCCCTAAAATAATCCTGAACTGTTTGGGAATGAACAGCAGCCCTTGGCTCCACAGGGTGTTATGCAGTGGGTGGGCTGTGTCCAGCAGAAATCCCAACACTAGGAATCCAGAATTCCTGCAGCACTGCAGCTCTGCCTGGAGCACCCAGGCAGCTGCTGGGGTTTGGATTTGAACATTCTGAGGGCTACACTCTGTGCTAGGGAGGATGGGCAGTGTTTGTGCTGTTCTGGGTTTGGGCTGCAGGGTCCAGCTGTGCTTGCACTCAAAAAAAAAAATCAAAGAAAAAAGATAAGGAAAAAAAAAGAAAATATAAAAGGGGGGGGGAAAGAAGAAAAAATAGAACAGAAATAGAATCAGGTCAGTGCCTGCCCCAGCCGTGCTGTGAGCCTGGGGGCTCGTGGGGCTGGAGATGCAGATGCAGCTTCTCAAATAGCTACTCCAGGTCAAGTTCCTGTGTCTCCCACAATTTTAAATTCCCATCATCAGAGTTAAATTTTGGGTGCAGCAGTGGCATAAGGGGTCCTGGAGTGGTGGGAGAGTGGGCACCTCAGTGCTGAGGGTGCTGGCTGGTGTTGGGCTGGCCCTCCTGCCCCCCTGGGGATGCCTTTGGCTGTGCTCTGGGGAAAAACTGTGCCATGGGAATGAAAACCTGAAATGGCCACAGAATCCAGTGTGTAAAAAGAGAAAGAGCTGAAAGCACAGGGCACAACCTGTACTAATGTCGGGTGTTTTGTCCTGACCCTGCCCATGGGTGAGCAGGCTTCTTTCTTCTGTTTTATTTTATTTTATTTGGCTTTAAATAATTCAGCAGGAGCAGCAAAAAGCACTGGGAATGTTTGTGGTGCTCTGCAGGGAAAGGTAGATGGATGGTCCCTAAATTATACCGTGACCTGGCAGAACACTTGCCCAGCCCTGGCTGCACTGCGGAGGTCGGAGCAGGAGGGTGGAATTAAAGGGGATTTTGTAATTAAAGGAGATTTTGTGCTGTGGTGACAGGACAGGGGTTTGATGTGTGGCACACTGCACTGTCTCAGGGCTGATTATCTTGTTTCCAGCCTGGCTCAGGGAGGAGGAGAGAAGGGTGATAATTTTATCTCCTGGCTGTGGAGGAGCAGCTGGTGTTGGGGATCCTGGTGCTGCCTCCACTGGAGTGGGAAACCATGGGACATTGGGTTTGTGGAGAATCCACCAGCTTGGGCAGGATATTGGGAAGGAATAGTATGTTCTAATTATTTTCTTTTCATCTTAGGAACCTTGGGAAATCCGGGCTGAGAGTGTCGTGCCTTGGACTGGGTGAGTACCTTTGGCTTCCACAATATTCTCCCCCCTCAGTGCTCGAGCTGTATGAGGGGTTGTGTCGTCAAATCCTTCTGATGTGCCCTGAAGCCTGTGAGGAACAGCCCACAGAGGTCCCATCTGACATGTCTGAGTGTGCCCAGGAGCTCTGAGTGTCCCAGCTCTGGCCTCGGGGGCACCAATCTGCCTGGGCTGGGGGCACATTCCTATTTCATTTTATCCAGCCTTTGTACCTTGTTATTCCTGTTCCATACTGACTTGAAAAACTAAAGAACACCTCATCAATATTTTATCCTATCGATATTTGATCCAGAGGGGCCTGTCTGAGCACACCCACGTGCTGGCCCTGCAGGGCCCCCAGGGATGCTGAACTCCCACAGCCCCTCGTCCGTGGCTGCTCCTGTGCCCTGGGCTGCATCCCTCCTGATGGCTTTACTCAGGCGAGTAATCCCTCTGATGGCAGCTGAACCACACATGGCACAGTGCTTGAAAGTGCAGGGATATAGATGTTTTTATAAAACCCAAATGCTGTGGAAAGGAGGAGGCTGTTTTCTCACTGTGAGCACCTTCCCACAGTGCAAGGCTGGACATCAGGAGCTTAAACACCCTGGGGATGTGCACAGCCCCCCCCAGGGATGGATGGATGCTCTGCCAGAGCCCCTCCAGCCCTGTTTTAATAGGGGTCCTTGTTCCTGGGGAGTCAGAGAGGCTGGCACAGGTAGCTGGAGGCACCAGCATGGTTTAGGTTGCTTAAAGAATCACTGGAAAAGGTATTGGCAAAACCAGGTTTAATATGAATTTGTAAAAGCATGACAGTGTTTGATGGCACAGTTCTATCACTATATATTTTCTGTTACTATACAGAGCACACAAGGGGAAATCTGATTAAAATCAGTCTCCAATGATTTCTGTGGATAGTGGGACACAGGAGGGTGAGGATGCAAAGGGGCAGGGAGACCCTCCTGTTGAGTCACAGGGTTCAGAGAAGCCCTCTGGGCCAAACTTGGCCTTAGACTGGATCAGTGGTTTAGGTCTAAAGGACTTAGCAATGCTTAATCAACACAACAGTGGCAGTGCTTAATCAGTTGGCTAATTTAACATTTATAAAATGACTCAATAGGATTTGCTATAAGCACAACAGTAACTTAATTATGAGCCTAAGCTAATTACGAATCTAAGATGGCAACATTCGTCTACACTCACTCGGAGTATTTAAATCAATTTACATACACACAGACACAAGAAGTCTGTTCTGAGGTATAAACATGTGAAACATTCCCCTTGAGTTCGGGGAAACACTCCTGTCCTGTCTGTAGGCTCGTGACCATCCTGTAGGATGCTTGGCTTTAGTCATCAGTACATTTCCATCCTGGATGCAATTTGGGTCGGTAGTTACTGGAATTTTCCTTGGAAAGTCCAGTAACAGTAACATTATTTAACAATAATATCGTTATTAGCTCTGAGCAACCTGGGATAGCAGAAGGTGCCCCTGCCCACGGCAGGGTGTTGGAATTGGATGAGCTTTAAGGTCCCTCCTATCCCAAACCACTCCATGATTATTCAGCTCAGGCTGTTGTTCAGACAGAAGAATAAGGTCTGGAGGCTGTTGGAAAAGAGGAGCTTGTTAGAGCACAGGGGTTCTGGGAGTATAAGGGGTAAACCCAAGGGGATTTACCTGCCCAGGTGGCACTGATCAAGGCTGAGCATTCCCCAGATCCAGGTGTTGCTGCCTTGGGAGCCAGTGGGTGATGGCAGGCCCTGGGCTCTCTGCCTGTACCTGGCACCACTGAGGTTGTGGGATCCCCTTCCAGCTCCATCCCTGCCAGGGCTGGGAATGCTCACAGGGCAGGTGTCAGGTCATTTTTTCCAACACGCTCCGAGGTTTGATTTTAAAATAGAGTGAATTGTGAAAGTCACCCTGTACCACGAGTCATATAAATAAGGCCTGTTCTGCCAAGAGCCCTTCTGGTTAAAATAGACCCAGCCTTGGAAAGGACTTGTCTTATCTGTGCAGAGGTTTTATTTATCATCCACAGTTTCCCCAAGTGCTGATGTTGTGGTGGTGGAGAAAAGCTCTGGGAAGGAAGCAGCAGCAGGAAAAGAAAAACATTCTGTAGAGCTTTTCTTTAATTTCAAGCGGGTGGAACTGCAGCAGCAGCTAAATATACTGAGCCTTTGTGAGCACAGCTGTGCAGGGATGTGGGGGGCTGGGGGCCTGCTGGGCATCTCAGCCTGTTCCAGCAGCACTGATCCCAACAGCCCCTGCCCTGTGAGCAGGAATAGGGGAAAGCAGAGCTGGAAAGCCTGAAATTCAGGAATTCTCTGGCATGTACACCACAGCACATCATAGAATGGTTTGGGTTGGAAGGACCTTAAAGCCCATTCAGTTCCACTCCTCTTCCACTATCCCAGGTTGCTCCAAGCCCCGTCCAACCTGGCCTTGGACACTCCCAGGGATGGGGCAGCCACAGCTTCTCTGGGCAACCTGTGCCAGGGCCTCCCCACCCTCAGCCAAGAATTTCTCCCTATTTAATCTAAATCTCCTCTCTTTCACTTTCAAACCATCCCCCTTGTCCCACCTTTCCCACTGCAGATCCATCAAGTGTCTGTTCCCAGCGCTGCCTTATATGACTTTTCTAAATGCCTTCTCTGTTGCAGTTCCCCAAAAGATAAATGTGTTTCCCTACGCTCTCTGCAGCATGAAAATCTAATTTAAGGTTCACTAAAGTTTCTGAGGGCTCAGCAGTCTTCCTCTAAAGCCTTGCAAAATCTCAGCAAGGTGGGAGTGCTCTTCATCCTGCAGGATGAAAAAGTGGAGAAAAACGGGAAGTGGGGCAGAAATCAAAGGCAGGAAGGGCTGAGGCAGCACAGGCCCTTTAATGATGCCCTGCCTTTCCCACTCACGTGGCCATGAGTGTGTTTGCTGGTACCACCAGTGTTGAGCAAGTGCAGGACAGGTGAGTTGGCAGCATGTTCCACAGGCAGAGACATTTGGGAGGGGTCCCTGAGCCCCTTGGGTGGTGGCTGGGGATTGCTCTGGGGAGCTGAGCCCCTTGGAGCACAGGCTGAGCATCATTCCTGGACTGATCTGCCAGGCTGAGCTTTCCTGGCCCAGGCTCCTGCAGCTCCCTGGTGCTGAGTCCTGTTCCTGGCTGGGCTGAGCTCTCACCTCCTCCTCTGAGCACCTTAGCTCCAGGTGAGGCTTTACCTGAGGGAGCTTCACAGCCCAGCCCTGGGCTGGCAAAAGGCTCTTGGCCTGATGCTGGATCCAAAACGTGATTGTGAAAAACAGGGAAAAACAAGGTCATGTTTCTCATGTATTTAGTTCAGAGCGAATCCTGCCTGTGGATTCCTGTTGATTTTGAGAGAATGTTGAGACAGCCTCCAACAAGCTTTGAGCCCTGGCTCAAAGGAAACGAGCAGCAGGACAAAACCAGCCATCCCAAATCACAAAAGCATCTACAAAACACAGAAAAAACCCTCCCCAAGCAAGCAATTCCTGCAGCCACTGTTGGGATACCCTGTGCTCAAAATTGGCTACGAAAATAGATGTTTTTCAGCCCAAAGTGGTCAGATGCTGCTGTTTCCTCCTTGGGCTTTGCTCTGGGAAAGGGATTTTGCACTCCCAGCCCAGGCTCCTGCTGTGCTCAGGGCTGGGCTCCAGACCAGCCCCACGTGCCAGAGCTCCATGTGGCACCATCCTCGCCAGGAGCAGGGCAGGGATAACACTGTGCTGGCAGCAGGGGAAGTGTGGAGTTCAGCCAGGAATTCCTGCAGAGGTGACACATCTGCTGGCAGTGACATTAGCGAGGGGTGGATTTTGCATTGGCACAAATCCCACAAAGAATCATACCTTGTTGGGCTCGGGGGTGTGATGGAAATGGAGCCAAATCTGGGTTTAATGCAGAAGTTCCTGTTGAAGGGGAGGATATCCAGTTGGGAAGCTATTTTCCAAGGCAAGGGAGCAAGGTGATGGCAAAGGGCAGGAGAGAGAGGTCTGTCTGCCACTGCCACGCTGAGCCCCAGGGCAGGGGATGTCTTTTATAAGCCATGAATTGGGATAAGCTAGAGAGACAGCGACTGGAAAGGGGGAAAGTAGCAATTAAACAAGGCATGTCTTTCTCCAGTATATTTTTCTTCCAAAATGAGTGTATTGGCTGAGGCTGTGAATCATCCTTGGCTGTTGTTTAAAATGCCAAATGTGCCTTGTGCTTATTTTTGCCTTTTTAAAAAATTTCATTTTAAAAGGGAGTTGAGCAGCCTCTGCCATGCCGTGCCTGTGCCAGGCTGTGCCTCTGCCATGCTGTGCCTCTGCCCCAGCTGCTCAGGGAGTGGGTGCCCCCCACCCCAACTGCCCAAGGGTGGCCGTGGAGGGAGATTCCTGTGCTGCCTTCCCTGCTCCTGACTCCCTACCAGAGCTTCTCCCTTTCCCAACCACATCTGATGGTTTAGAGATCACCTTGGTGAGCCAAAACTCCCCTCCCTGCTGTTTTTTGTGATGATCATGGCAAAAAGAGACCCCAAGGATTCCCCACCCACGTGCTCCTGATGGTGCTCAGTGTCCCCAGCCCCTCCTGTCCCCTCAGCTGGGTCTGGGAGCACAGGGGGGCACAGATGGATCTTGGGCAGGTAGATCCTGTATCATATATTTTTTACTTGCATTTAAAGAGATTTAAGGTGCTTGTTATTCTTACATGAGCCATTGCCAGCCCTGTGTGCCCAAACCCTTGAGCACATCACCCTCGTGTCCCTTGGTGGGGTGTGGTTTGTGTCAAAAGGCCACAGCCAGGGAAATTCCAGGCAGGATGTGCAGTCCACAGAGGCAAAAATATTTCTCTTTCTCACCTGTGCTAGGGATCTGTGTGCTGCTTATGCAAAAAAAAAGCCATCACTTTGGGATAAACAATCTCAACCCATTTTTTGATAGAAACATGTTTTAATGTATTCCTATAAATATAACACCTCCAAAGCTTTAACATGGAAATCAGGCTTCATTTGGGTGGGGTTTTTTATCTACATGAAGAAGCTTAATGATAAATTGAAACCTGCTTTCTTTTTTATCTTTGTGCAGGACTAGAGCATTTTACTCCCATAGTAAGAGAAAATACCTCTCCTGAGGTCTATAACCAGTAAGGTGTTGCAGGGGTAGCTCCTGCCCCATTATTGCCCTTATAGAGAGCAGCAGTAAGTGTAAAATTAGCTGGAAATATGTGTGCTCTTTGCTCATTTCTTTTATTTCCATATTTCTGATCTGTGAAAACTTGGCTCGGGTTTTTCTGCGGGAAAATCGGGAGTTTCGGTTTGAACTCACACTTTGTGTGTCTTTAAATAACTTTGTTTGCACTCAAAGAAACCTGATGTATTAAAAAATTCAGATTGACCTTTTTTTGAGGGAAAGAGAGCAAGATTCTCCTGACAGAGACGACGACTCCTGTTCTGTTCCAGGCAGGGCTGATCAAAGAGCTCTGGAGGGAGCAGCAGGGACCTGCCCCGCTTCTGCCTCTGCTCAGGGTTCACCCTCCCCATGAGGGTGTGGGAGCACTTATGGATCTGCTGCATTTCTGTGAGTGCCACCAGGCAGGGAGAACTGAAGTCTTGCCCCTTGGCAGTGTCAGAGCTCGACCCTTCACTGGCACTGCAGTCCCTGCCTCGCTCAGATCATGAGTCACACACAGGTTGGGGTGGGAGGGACATTAAAGCCCATCCAGTTCCAACCCCCTGCCAAGGACAGGGACACTTTCTACAAGACCTGGCTGCTTCAAGCCCTGTCCAACTTAGAATCACAGAATATTCTCAGTAGGAAGGGACCCACAGGGATCACTGAAGTCCAGTCTGGCCTGGAACACGTTTAGAGATGGGGAAAAATCTCACTGACTTTTCCAGCTTGGAGCCTGAACCCCTGTGCCTTCCTTATGGAGGGATGTTTTAAGACAATTTTAAATTCTGGAGTGTTTTGTGTGAGCCACGTGGGCTCTGCCCTGTCCCTTCAGTGAGTGACATGTGATTCTGTGCCCAGCTGCAGTGGAGCTGTGGAGCAGCGTGAGGGGAAGCTGTGCTGCAGGTCACAGGGTGTTGTGAGGAGCTGGCACAGGCCATGGCACAGCCACTGCTACTGCCCCGGGGGATTGGGTGAGGTCACACGGGCAGGGGTGGAGGGAGGGCTGAGCAGTGTCCTGGGTGTGACCTGGGGCTTCCCCAGCTCCCTTTTTCTACCAGTTCCTTAGGAAATATGTATTCCTTAAATATGTATATATAAAATACATACAGGAGATAATGTTCCTATGGGAATTCCTTGAGGGGTTGGACTGGGTGACCTTTAAAGGTCCTTTCCAACACAAACTATTCCATGATCTGGTTAAATCCACACGTTGTTTCCACCATAGATTATTTTTAATTTTTTTTGAGGCAATGATCCTGAAGAAATAATGCCCCAGGTTTTCCTAATAATAGACCAGAGCCTGCAACTGAGTCTAAACTGCAGCTCCTTTTGGAGCCAGCCTAAGGAAAGCTCTGCCCACCGGCTTTGCCTTGGCTTTGGACATTGGCTTTATGGAAAAGTTCTAGGGAAAAGTCACTTTGGGTTTTAAAAACTTCACGTCAAAAGAAATATTTCTTTCTTAATCATTTTTCGTCATTTTGGCCCGTACGATGTGGAATGAAGCACATATTTAAGAAGATTTTCCTTCCCCAAATGATGTGTTGAGGCAGCATCATTAAGTTTTTTTCCAATTTATCAAATTGAAGCTTTGGAAAACAAACTGTTTTTGCAAAGAACTTCAGATTTCAAGGCCTGGAAGTGTCCAAGGCCAGGTTGGAGCAACCTGGGACAGTGGAAGGTGTCCCTGCCCATGACAGGGGAAGGGACTGGATGAGCTTTAAGGTCCCTTCCAACACAAGCCATTCTCTGGTGATTCTGTGATTTGAATCAAACTGTATTTTGGCAGAATAACATCCCCTGGCACTGCCCTGAGCACCTCCATGTGCTTTCCCACCCTGGGAGAGGGGGCTCCATGTCAGCCCTGCAGGAGCTCTCCTGGGCACACACCACCCTCTGAAACAGCCATTTTAAACCCATTTAACCCCAAGGAGCCTGAATTTTGGTCAAGTGAAATTTTGGGTGTTAAAAGCCTCTTGTAGTAACAGATTCTTTTGTGTTTTTTTTTCCAGGGACATGGGTCACTTTTGGGGGTCAGATCTCAGATGAGGTGAGTGCTGCTCAGTCTCAGTGCAAAGCAGGAGGTACAGAGCAGGGTGAGGTGTTTTTGGTGAAACCACAGCTACCAGAGCTGGAGGAGCTGCACAAAACTGCTGCTGCAAAGCCCTAATGAATGTGACATTTCCAGAGATCAACTCTAACAAACCCCATCTATCCGTGTATCCCTTAGAGCCATCTCCTTTTCCACGCTGTCCCCACTGGCAGCGGCACTGATCCCAGAGTGGAAATTGGGCACTGCTTCTGTTGTGGATGAAATGGGCACCAGTTGTAAACACAGGCAGGGGCTGGGCTCACCAGGGTGGTTTGTTTTTACATAATGAGCTGAAACAAATGGGAGTGAGCTCGGGTTTCCTCCATGCTCCTCCCTGGAGCAGATGGCTCCTGGTCTCCGTTGATCCTGGAGCGCTGGGCAGCACCTGGGCTTCCCTCCAGCCCAGGTACACTCCAGATGTGAGTGCCCACAGGAGAGCAGCCATCCAGCTGCCTTCCCCCAGGGCATGGGAGAACCACCAAAATAGCTCTGGAATGAGGAAAAGAGCCCAGGAGCCTGAAGTCAAAGGGGTTTGCCTTTTAATTCACTTGATCTTTCCTGGTATTGCTGCTTCTCCTGGCGGATCACCAGGTTTATCTCTTGGCACTATGAGATTATTTGTTCCCATGATCACTTTGCTCCCTGTACTCCTGCCCTCCTTACCTTGAGTAAGTCCATGCAAAGGGGTCATGCATGGAAAAATAGGGCAGAAACACAGCCCCATCCCTGAGGGATGCTCACCCTTGGGATACTGGCTCAGAGCTTCCAGCCCCTTGGAGGGCAGGATCCCCCAGGGAGCAGCGAGACCCCCATGGGGACCCCACAAAATTACTTGCAAGTGTTTCCATGCCCCATGGTATCTCTGGGGAGCTGCAGGACAGCCTGTCAGGCAGCCAAGAAAATATTAAACTCACCATTCTGTGTTAAACTCCATAGATTTGCAGAGTATCTTCTGTAAACCTATTAAGTTCTTGGCTGCTTTCCTGTTAGAAAGCTCCTGTGGGAAGAGACTAATTCCTGCCAGGGTGAGTCAAATGGAAATTGGTGCCAATCCATGTTGTGGTGCCTCTCTGGCCAGTGCAGGACCCTCTGGGTGCCCTGTCCAAGGGTCTCCCCTGGGCAGGGGATGCTCACACCCCTCCCAGCCCTGCTGGAGCCCCTTTGTTGGCCTCAGGGGCCTTTCCTGGTGTGGGAGGGGACTGCTGGCTCGGGATGTGACCCCTGTCCCCCCTCTCCTCCCTCCCTGCCCCAGGTGGCCGAGCAGCTGATGACCATCGCCTACGAGAGCGGCGTCAACCTGTTCGACACGGCCGAGGTGTACGCGGCCGGCAAGTGAGTGCCGGGGTCCTGCTCCCTGGGGGTGGCTTGGGAGGGACCTGAGGGACCTCCTGGTTCCGTGGGCAGGACACTGGCTCTGCTCCTCCCTGTGGCACAGCCCCTGGTGATGGTTTGGGTGCTGGTTTGGGCTCTGGCAGTGCTCAGAGAGCCCCTCTCTCCCTGGGAAACCTTTGTATTTGGAGCGCTCAGAAAGAAAATCAGATAAATTTCCTAAATCCTCTTGTACTCTGCACAGATTGGATTGTATCTCTCGTGCCCCTTGCTGTTGGCACAGGGAGAAAAATATCCTGAATAAATGAAAAGTCATAGTGGATCTTAATGGTGATGAATGGCCGGGACCTGTGACAGCTCCTGGCAGGAACAGCTCTGGCTGCAGCGGAGCTAATGCTCTTAGTGTCACTGTGGAGGGGGGGAATAAATCTGCCTGGGGATGATTTATATGGCTCGTGTTCGGTGTGGAAGGTGGGCTGGGACATCGTGTCCCTTCTGGGGGCCAGAGCGGCTCTGCTTCCCAGACTGGGGTCCAGCAGATGTGGGGATCGGGGATGTGGGTCTGTCCCTGCAGGAATGGGCGGACAAGATGCTTTGGGTTGACAGAGGGGATCTGTCCCTGGTGGGGGTCATGTCAGGAGGGGAGGGGAGAGCTGCAGGCTGGTGTGGGGGGCACAGGTTGGGTGATGGGGGCGATGGTGTCCGTGGTGCTGAGCATCCTCCTGCCTCCCTCACACCGGGCTCTCTCCTGCACAGGGCTGAGGTCATCCTGGGCAACATCCTGAAGAAGAAGGGTTGGAGGTACTGTATGGCATTCCCTGTCCCCCACAAACAAGTAGAACCCTTTGGCATAAGACAATCCTTCTGGACTGTTGGGTGGTGCCATCCCAGGAGTGGGTGCTGCTGTGTGACAGTCACTCAGGGAGCAGCCAGAGCTCTCCAGTGCCAAACAAAAGCACTCCCCTGGATGTTTTGGGAGTGCACAGTGGCTTCAGGAGGCTGTGACCCCCCTGTGGGACCGTCATGTCACCCAACACAGCCTGGGAGCATGTCCAGCATCCGTTGGGTGGGTGATGTGCCCCTAAGGTGTGGATTAAGGATGCAAAGCTGTGACAGGCCTTCATCTCGGGGAGCCTGGCAGGAGGTGATACCTAATTCAAACGATGCACATTAGCATATGTTGTGCAGTTTAAAGAGCATTTACATAATCTTTTAAGACCTCCCATGTGTCATAGCCAGACTGACTGAAGGATGGTTCTAGCGGTGCTGCCTCCAAAATCAGCATCCCTGTGTTAGGGGGGTGAGTGATGGTTCAGTAAGAAATATTCTGCATGCTGTGGAAGAAAAAAAGTCCAATTAAGGGTGGAGAAATGGTTTTGTACGTGTCTGGTTATGCAGCAAGGTGGTTGGAGAATGATAAATCCTTGATTTAACATCATGTAGGAGTTTATAGATTTATTCAGGTGGATCACTTGAGTTTTAATGACTCTGGGAAGACTGCATGATAATGAGAAGCACTGGGCATGGCTGGCAGGAGGGAAAGTGCTGTAGCCCTTGGTTAAAGGTCTGGAGATTGCTCATGCTGTAATTCAAAATGTTTGGAGGTTTTTTTGGTTGCTTCACTTTAATTAGCTTTGATTTCTGGACCCCTGTCCTAATGTCCAATCCCAGCTTCCTCTCATGCAGCTTCATTCCATTTCCTCATGCCCTAAATATTTATGAATATATATTTTGCCAAAATGCCTCCAGGGCGCTTCACTTTCCATCTTCTAAAAAAATTAAAGCTTGGATCCCCTCTGCTGCTTAAAGCACATGTCTGAGGAATAGCTCCCTACGCACAGTGGTGCCATTCCCTGATACAAATGGAAGCTCCTGTTTGTTTAGGGGATGCCAAAGTTCCCTCAATTCAGAGGTAATTCCACCCAAATCAGCACTGGGGTGGGTGTCTCCTCAGTGGTTCACTCCTGTTCTTTCCTGTTTGAGTGCTGCCAGCAGAAATCCTGTTCCTAGATTTCAGAAGTTGTTGATGGGCAGCATCCTGCTTGGTTATTTATATTATTTTTATTTAGTAATAATTTTTTTTTTCTGCTTTGTTTGCAGGAGGTCCAGTCTGGTCATAACAACAAAGCTGTACTGGGGTGGAAAGTAAGTGTCTTTAAGGTCCCTTCCAGCCCAAACCAGTCTGTTATTCTGATTTTGGGGCTGTTTAAATCAGAATAGGAGTCAGTGAGTGCTCCCCAGTTGTTGGCACCTCCGGTCTCTCACAGCCTTGTTCCTGTTTTTCCCTTGCAGAGCTGAAACGGAGAGAGGCCTTTCAAGGAAACACATCATTGAAGGTACCTGTGGCCCAGGGTGGGGTCTGGCCATGCCCTGGCTGGGTGGGTGCAGGGTGGGATGCAACCAGCTGGAGCCGGGACAGCGGCTCTGCCATGAGCCAGGTCTGTCTGATCCTGGTGCTCCCTGTGCCAACCCCACGCGGGCAGTTCCCAGACTTGGCTGTGAAGGGCCCAAAACGCGCCAAAGGATTATTTTGGCCTTTTTCAAGAAGTGTGAGCAAATGAGTTGCACTCCCAGCCTGCCCTCCCAGCCCCCCTGCTCGGTGACCTTCGGGGTTTGCTGCAGGAAGCTGCTCCCCGGGCACCCCCAGCTCTTCCCAGCGGCGGCTCGTGGTGGCACGAGCAGGGAGGGATGAGGGTGAGGATGTGGGCATGATGTCAGCCTGCAGAAATAGCCTCTGGAGGGGTGCCAGGCCCTGGCTGGCATGGCTGAGGTTTGCTCTCAGTGCTGTTTCTCCTCAGGTGCTCAGTTTTGTTGTACATTCCCTCACCTGGCTCCCTTCATCCGTTCCCCCATCCCGCTGAGCGATGCCATGTGCTGCCTTACCCTGCCTTACTGGATACAGATTATGTGGAAAATATGGGTTATATGACAAATATTACATCTCCTACCCTCACCCAGGATGTCACTGCCCCTCATCCCACCCTGCCTGGTGCTGTCCCAAGCAGGTCACATGGGATGAGCATGGCCAAAAGCAAAGCAGCCCCTTCCTGGGGCACAGGTTTGGCTCCTTCCATCCTCCTCCTTCCTGATCCTGAGCATCCCTGGAGCATGGCGAATTTTCCATACACCTGGGATTGCCCTGGAAAGTTTTCACCATGGAGTGTTTGCAGGATTCAGCTACATTGGAATGTGACTTTCAGACTAAGGTAATGCTGGAGAAAGCTTTTTGGCAGCATTTTGTTGAGTTTTTATTTGAATAACCCTCTGTGAGGTGGTGACACTGGACCCAGAGGTGCTCAGGGAAGGGGCAGCCATGTCACAGGTGCTCCAAACCCATCTGCTTTCATTTCTTGTGGAGCTGCTTCATGAAATGATGGAAAAACCCTGGCAGCAGTTGGAAAAACTTCACAGAACACAGAGCAAACGATGTTAAGGTCAATGTTAGCTATTTTATACACATATATGTCTGTATATATATATATATGTCTGTGTGCGTGAGAGAGAGGAGGATTTCTGACACTTATTTTCTATAAATCTTCCCAAGAACAAAATGTTTTTATGAATGTTCATGAAGAATGAGTCAAAATAGAGGAGGCTGAAAATGTTTGCTGAATTTTGAGACGGATAAAATGCCCATCTTCTTCTCTCTCCCTCTCTCATACACACGTGTGTATATATCTATATATGTATATATCTGTAGGGTTTCAATGCCATCTCCCATCAGATCCTCCCAGAGAGGCTGTCAAAGCCTGGACAGTTATGGACTGAGCTGCAAAGTGCCTTGACTTGCTCTGCCAAACTCCCTCTGCCCTTTGCTCAGTGTTGGTGGGCACAGCCCCCTCTGACAAGAGGTCAAACCTTCCCTGGTGCCTCACCTGCTCATCACGAGGCATCAACCTTCCCTCTGGGATTGCATCCTGGAGTGTCCCCCTGCAGCCACCCATCTTGAGGTGGGGGTGGAGCAAGGACTTGCCCAGAAAGGCTCTGTGACAAAATCTAGATGAAATTAGCTCAGGACAGGAGCAGGACACAGAACCCAGTCCCTGGCAGCTGACATGGACACGCTCTGTACCCAGGGGCTGTTCAACCCAGATCTGAGGGGAATTCAAAAATAAAGCAAATTCTCGTGGAAGGAGGGGGCCCTGCATGTGGCCAAGCTGGTGTTTCCTTCTTCATATGACTGCAGTGACATGGGACAATGATATTCAGCATCCCTCTCATATCCTGGATGGTTATGTGTGTGTATATATACATAATATGTACATTTAAATACACCAAGCTTATTTTTGCCCCATTTTGGCTCTGTTCTGTGCTGCCAGCTCCACCTCCCTCTGACCCTGCCTGTCTTGTCTCTGCTCTTCCATTCCCAGGGCTGAAGGCTTCTCTCCAGAGGCTGCAGCTGGAATATGTGGACGTGGTCTTTGCCAACCGGCCGGACAACAACACCCCCATGGAAGGTTGGTGCAGGCTTGGCTTAAAGGTTCCCCTTGATCCTGGTTTAGGGGCTGAGACCGAGGAGGGTAGGAAATGAAAACCAATTTTTAATTAAATATTCAGTTGGGGCAGTTTAAATATGAAATATCTCATTCGTGGTGTCCTGGAGCCATGTGTGCCTGGCCATGCAAGGTGCCCCTACCCATGGCAAGGGATTGGAACTAAATGGTCTTTAAGGTCCTTTCCCAAACCATTCCATGACTCCATATTTATTGAAATGTATTTATATGTTTTGGAAGGAAATGGAAGTTTCCCAGTAGTGGCTTTAACATTGTTTGGGGGGTTTATTTCTTTTTCTTGAATCCTTCAGATGAAGTGGGTTTGTGTTTGGATTTAAGGCAGGACAGAGTAGGGTCTCCCAGCACAACCAGCAGTGATGCTCTGCCCAGGGCTGGATTGGTGGGAAATGTTCCTTGTTAAATCCAGACTGGTAAATCAGGGGATGAACTGAGGGACTTGCAGGATCTGTGACTTTGTGCTTCAGTTACATTTCAGAGTCACTGATAACCAACTCTGTGTGTCTGGCATGTGAGCATAGCCCAGCTAGCCAGGAGCCCCCAGCAGTGTGTTTTGGGGTCAGTGCCCTATTTAATGGGCACAATTCCCATTCCTCCTCTCCTCCTTCTGGAGTGAATGCAGCCACTCCCTGTGGCAGAGCAGCCTCCCAGCTAAACACAGAGCAGGAGGAAAGACTTGCAGGCTGCAGCAGCTGCCGTGGAGGGCACTTGGAAATCAAACAAACCTGGAGCTTGACAGGCCCCCTGCAAGCTCCTGGCTCGATGTAGGAGTTGTGACACCCATTTCCTAGGGAAGATGGGGCTGTGGGCCCTGGCACAGCCTGTGGGTGCCAGTCAGAGCCAGCAGCTGAGGCTCAGGGACCAGCCTGGGAGCTGAGGAGCAGTGTGGATTCCTCAGGCCTGGGAGCTGAGGAGCAGTGTGGATTCCTCAGGCCTGGGAGCTGAGGAGCAGTGTGGATTCCTCAGGCCTGGGAGCTGAGGAGCAGTGTGGATTCCTCAGGCCTGGGAGCTGAGGAGCAGTGTGGATTCCTCAGGCCTGGGAGCTGAGGAGCAGTGTGGATTCCTCAGGCCTGGGAGCTGAGGAGCAGTGTGGATTCCTCAGCTGCTGCTGAGGCCGAGGACATGGCACGTTGTCCGGGAGGGAGGAGTGACCTCTGTGCTCAGTCAGTGTCACAGGCAGTGGGATGTGTTCCCAGCTGATCCCGGCGTTGGCAGCGCTGGGGATGCTGCGGATCCCGCTGGCAGTGTGGCCTTGGCAGCCGGGCACGGGCTGTGGAGCCTGGTGAGACCGGGGCAGGGTGAAAAAAAGGGACATTTTTATTATGAATGGCACGGTGGAGACTCTTCCCATGTTCTTCCTGCTTTTTTTGTGGTTCACCTACTAAGCCACTTCTATCCCAGAGCATCTGCTGAACCATCTGGTGGTGCTGCTCTCCCCGTGCAGGGAGAGCTGTGCTGCCTTCCCCAGGCACACAACCCTTCTCCAGCATCATACATGCCTGTGCTTTTCCCACAAGGAAATCATGGAGTGGTGTGGGTTGGAAAGGACCTTAAAGTTCATCTCATTCCAACCCCTCTGCCGTGGGCAGGGACACCTTCCACCAGACCAGGCTGCTCCAAGTCCTGTCCAACCTGAAGGTCTGATCCCCCAGCTGGGCAGGCAGATGCTTTTTCTTCATCCCAAGTGGCTTTTCCAGCAGTGCAGCTCCAGCTGGGGGGAAGGAGGGTCCCTGGGGTCCTGTTGTCATGGTGCCGGGTGCCCACAGCACATCCAGCACCCACAGCCCTGGAATGCAGGGAGGGAAGGTGACAACATTCCTACCAGGGAACTTCAAGCTACTTCAAAGTTATTATTATGCTGCCAGGGGCTGTTTTCTGGGATTTGAAACATTTATTTATATTTAAAAAAAAAAATCTCCTGTTCCTAAATGGTGCCATTTGGGCGTCCAGCTGACAGGCCAAGAGATCCAGGGATGTGCTATTCCCACATCCCATCCCCATGGGAGCAGGCTCTGTAAACAAGAAGGTACATATATTTTCTGAGTTGACTTGGGTTTTTCTTGAAAGGAGTAGAGGTGGGAGAAATGAAAACAACCAGGGGCTGAGATGTGTAAGAGGCGTATGACGAAATGTTTGTCAAGGCTCCCAAATGGTGGCGGGGCAAAAATAGAAAACTAAGCCCAGGGAGAAGCTGGTGCTGACAGGGAGGGAGCAAGGGAGGGGAGGATCACTTACAGGCTGAGACTGAGGAAGGTAGCAAATGAAAAACAATTTTTAATTCAATATTCAGGCAGGGCAGCTGGAAATAGCTCGTTTGGGGTATCCTGGAGCCCTGGACACCTGGTCAGGTGGAAGGTGTCCCTGCCCACAGCAGGGGGTTGGAATGAGATGGTCTTTAAGGTCTCTTCCAACCCCAATCAGTCTATGATTCTATATTTACACTTCAGTGAAACGAGTTTGTTTTGGAAGGAAATAGAAGTTTTCTTTATGTCTCAGTGGTGCCTTTAACGTTGTTTGGGATATTTATTTCCTTTTCCTGATTGCTTCAGATCGGTGGATTAGTGTTCGGGTTTAAGGCAGGTCTCTGTGTCAAACAAAGCCCAGCCCTCCAGGCTCTAAATGGAGATTTCCCCACCCTGAGCTGCCCGTGGCTGCCTGCAGCAGGATCTCACACAAGGCCCAGGCTGGCAGTGTAATCTCCTCGCTGCCAGGATCCTTCTCTTTTCTTCCCTAAGTAGGACGAGGATCCTGATGGTATAAAAGGGATCTTGAGACAGCAGTGCTTGGAGTCCTTATCCAAGGGAGAGCACAGGAATTTACAGGCATGTCAGGCTCCTCCAGGCAGCCACATGTCCCCCCAGAGGGTTTGTGATGGGTCAGAGTTAATGGTGGAGGTGGGAGAGCACCAGTTCCTTCCCACTTTCCTATGGGAAGAGTACAGGGAGACGTGGCAGCGCCCGCTGACCACGAGGTGCCTGGTGTGGCACAGACAACAGTGACCAAGAACTGTTTTCTTTTGCTTCTCACAGTGAGTTAAGCCCAGTTTTGCCGGTTCAGATGCTGTGGTTGGTGGTCAGGGCAGTGCCTGTGCCCGCAGCACTGCTCGGCTCCCAAGGGCAGTGGGAGAGCCCAGCCAGAAACAGGGATTTTACTGTGGCCAGGGCAGTTAATTCTGGCTTGGGGCTGCTTGTGGGGACTGTGCCAGAAGGTTAGATGGGGTATTGGGAAGGAATTCCTCCCTGTGAGGGGGGTGAGGCCCTGGCACAGGTTGCCCAAAGAAGCTGTGGCTGCCCCATCCCTGGAAGTGTCCAAGGCCAGGTTGGATGGGGCTTGGAGCAACCTGGGAAAGTGGAAGGTGTCCCTGCCCATGTCAGGGGGTGGCACTGAATGGGCTTTAAGGTCCCTCCCAACTCAAACCATCCTGTAATTCCATGAAACTAAGCTTTATGGTGGGCTTCCCCCCCACCCCAAGAAGGCAGGGCTGCTCAGCAGAGGTCGGAGGGAGGAAATCAAAGCTCCTGTCCTGGTGTGCAGCCTTGCAAGCTTCCAGCTTCCCAAAGAACAACAAGGACCATGTCACTGCTGCATAAGGAGCTGTGCTGGGCTTTGCAGACCTGACACACGAGGCTGACAGGGCCCTTGGTGAAGTGGGGTTCAACCACTCAGTTTTGCAACTTTACCCCCCCTACCCCAGTATTCCTGGTAAAATCAAGCAGACCCAGATATATGGTTTCAGTAAACAAATGTTAAAACAAATTGAATTTATCCTCTAGTTTATTTTTCCACTGTGCTGCCCCCTTGTGCTAAATTTTAAAAGAAATACTCTCCTGAGGTGCTGGTAGGCAAGAGATCAATGTCTCCATATTTGCACTGAAAATGCTTTTTCATCCATGCTCGAGCAAAAGAAAAGAGCAGAATTGGTGTTCAGTGCAAACTGCTCAGGACTGTCAGCAATCTTGGAATTCGAGAGTGGATTTGGGAGGATTTGGTGCTGGAAACGTGGCCTCTGGGCACTTCTCATACTCCTTTTCTTCCCTCCTGCAGAAATTGTGCGGGCGATGACGCACGTGATCAACCAGGGCATGGCCATGTACTGGGGCACGTCCCGCTGGAGCGCCATGGAGATCATGGTAAGGCCCCCCTAGGGAAGCCTTGGCACTGGGTAGTGCTCTGGGGCTGCTGGAGTTTCACTCCATCCAGCACCTTTCCACTTCAAATAATTTAAGAACCTGTTCCAGAATGAGCCCAGTGTTGATCAGGAGAAGATGGGCTGAGCTGGGGGTTTGGGTGTCTGGGCTGGTTTAGCTGGGGTTTCTGTCATTTTGGTTTGATGGAATTCCAGGGGAATTCAAGGTGTCTTCAGGTTTGATATCTGTGCTCGTGGCCAACCTGGTCTAGTGGGAGGTGTCCCTGCCCACGGCAGGGGGTGGAACAATATGAGCTTTGAGGTCCCTCCCAGTCCAAACCAGTCTGGGATTCCGAGAGATTCCAGGAGCATCCTGCTGGTCCCTCTTCCCCTTGCTAAAGGGAAGACTTGAGTTTGTTGTCTCTGTACACTCAAGGAGTGTTGGCTGGTGTGTCCTGCAGGATATTTCCACGTAATGAAGTGCTTTCCTGCTGCTTTCTCCCCCCCAGGAAGCATACTCTGTGGCCAGGCAGTTCAACATGATCCCACCCGTGTGTGAACAAGCAGAATATCATCTGTTCCAGAGAGAGAAAGTGGAGGTTCAGCTGCCAGAGCTATATCACAAAATTGGTGAGTCTGAGGCTGCTGTGCCTTTTTGGCTTGTGCATCCTCAGAAAGAGAGGGAACAGGGGGACCTGGGGCTCCAGATGGGAACAGCACACAGACAGGTGTCTTCCTACAGACCTGAAAGAAAAACCAGTTCACTGTGGCTCTGGTAAAGAAGTATTACTCAGTATTATATATTAATATAGTATATTAATAAATATATTAATTATTAATTGCCATGACTGCTTCTTACTCTCTGAGACTTGTGTGGCCCATGAAAGTGCCATCCCTCCCCTGTACCCAAAGCCACCAATACCTCCTCGTGCCTCTCCCAGGCATCTGAGGAGCAGGGGTGGGAGCTGGTCCCTGCCAGCAGGAAGGATGTGAAGATGCAAGGCAGAGGACATGCCTGATCAGGAGTTCAGGTGCTTCACTGCTGCAGGAGCCAGGATGGAGCTGGAGGCTCCTGAAAGAGGCTTTTTGGATGATTAAGGCAGTCAGTGTCTTCCAGGGAGATGCTGCTGATGCATTAAGGAGTAATAATTATTTTATTTTTTAATTATATTAATTATCTGAATAAATACTTAAGGGCAACAGCAGCATCTCCCTGGAAGACACCAACTGAACGTTGCTGCCAGTGGCAATCGAAACAAGTAGAAGTTGTTTTGCTTTTATTTCATTTTTTAACTGAAAGTCCTGTTTTTGGTACAGCTCTGATCTCTCCCACTCCCCTGAAACGCCCTCCTCTGTTCTCTCTGCAGGGGTGGGAGCAATGACGTGGTCCCCGCTGGCCTGTGGGATCATCTCAGGGAAATACGGCAACGGGGTCCCAGAGAGCTCAAGGGCTTCCCTCAAGGTATCTTTGGGGCATGTTCGAGATGTGCTGCTTTGTGAGGGCAGGGAAATAACCAAGGGGAGAGAGATCCCTCGTGAGGAGGCTGGGCTGGGTATCGATGGATCCGCTCGGTTTCTCTGGCAACCACTCTCCAAGTGCAGGAGAATCTGGGTTAGAACAGTGCTCGGGTTCCCCACGCAGAGCTGGGGCTGGGGCAGGAGGGGGGGCTGCAGGATGCTGGGTGCTGTCACACCCAGGGGGTCTGTGGTGCTCAATGCTCCTCGCTGACACCAGTCATGGAACCATGAACGTTGCAAAAGATCATTGAAATCTCCACAATTATCCTGATTTTATCCTTTTTGAGGGCTACGGGGTCTCCTCCCCTGTTGTGGCACAGGCATGTGATTTAATGGTTTGAAAGATCACAGAGCACTAAAATGTCCTGGATTTGGGCAAAAACCCAACTAAAATGGGATCTGGGCCTCTGTACCAGCTGAGCAAAAGCCAGCACTGCCTGGCAGTGCCAGCAGAGTGACAGGGGTCCCTGGGCTGGGTTTGCTCAGTTTGGTGCTTTTTAAAGGAAATGGGCTATTTAATTGCATTTGGGTTGTTTTTTTTTCCAAACCAAAATGTATTATTAACTCTTGGTAAAGGCTATTGGAGAAGGTGGATGGTGAGAGGGGTCCAAATTAAATTGCGGAGAGTGCAGCAGAACCAACCTCCAAGTCTGGAACTGGGAGAACTGAAATCCCACTTTGCTTTAATTAATGTTCTAATCTTGAACTGTAAAATCTCCAACAAGATCAGATATTCCCTCACAATTTTTTTGGAGGGGTTTGGGTCAAAATCTTCTCAAGCTGACCAATATTTCCCTTTTTTTTTCCTCTGCTCTGTGATGGGATTCAATGGTCCAAAAAGAAAAGTTAGGAGGTTACAGTTTCTGGAGCGAGTCCGAGAGCTGCATAAAGCCGGGGTGACGTAGATCCAGGGACATTCTGGTCCTGTCCAGGGTGATGTAGATCCAGGGACATTCTGGTCCTGTCCAGGGCGATGTAGATCCAGGGACATTCTGGTCCTGTCCTAATTGCTTTGGGTAGCAAAACTTTGTGTCATTCAACCCCCACGACCTTCTGGGTTGGACATGGCTTTTCAAGTGCTGTTACACACACACACACATATATATATATGTATAGATTATACCTGTAATTATAAATGGGCTTAAAGTCCCCATTGTGGAAGATGAAAGCTGGCAGTAACGCAGTGTGATTGGCCTGCAGTGCTACCAGTGGCTGAAGGAGAAGATCATCAGCGAGGAGGGCAGGAAGCAGCAGGGGAAGCTGAAGGACCTGTCGCCCATCGCCGAGCGCCTCGGCTGCACCCTGCCCCAGCTGGCTGTCGGTGGGTCTGGGCTGGGGGCACCCTGGGGGGCTCTGGGGCTGCTCCTCTCCTCTGTGCAGGCAGCAGGGACGGTTCGGGGAAGGGCAGTGCAGGAAAAGATGTGTCGTCTTTCGAACAGGCCAAAGGGTGGCTTGGGCTGGGCCTGCAGCTAGAGATGGGTCTGTTATTTAAATGCTTCAAGGATTATTTATCCTGGAATGGTTTGGGTTGGAAGGGAGCGTAAAGATCAGTCAGTTCCAACCCCTGCCATGGGCAGAGACACTTTCTATTATTCCAGGTTGCTCCAAGCCCCGTCCAACCTGGCCTTGGACACTTCCAGAGATGGGGCAGCCACAGCTTCTCTGGGCAACAATTACACGAAATAAGATTGTTTCCAGCACCAGCATGAGCCTGTGATTGCCAGAGTATTTTGGGTCTCCTTAGGGGTCCAACCTGCCTGTTTCCCTGCTCCCTCCCCACAGTTCAGCACCCTGGGCCCACAGACACAAGAGAACCATGTGGTTTTCAAACTGAGGTTCTGTCAAACTTCAGGCTCTGGAGCGAGGCCGTGTCACTCCACCTTGTTCCTGACCTCGTTGTGCCTTTATTCCAGCATGGTGCCTGAGGAATGAGGGTGTGAGCTCTGTCCTTCTGGGATCTTCCAACCCGGAGCAGCTGATAGAGAACCTCGGAGCCATCCAGGTAAGTGCAGGTGGTGGTGGCCCCTCCATGGGGATTAGCTCTGCTCAGCTCCCTGAGGGTAACACCCCCACACCTCAGCACCCTCCTTCTCTTCATTTAGTGTTAGTACTTGGTATTTTGTCTTGCAATTCTATTTATGCACCTTAATTAGGCAAATCTATGGTGTCACCAGCAGGTTTAGTGTATCTGAAAGGGACAGGGACCCGATTCCAGGACATGTTGTGATGGATTCTGTGCTATCACGTCACCTGCACCCACCTTAATTAATCTCTGTAGTTTGCCACAATCAGCTTCCTCTCCCTCTGCTGTCCTTCCACTGCAGCCCAGCAATACTCCACATATCAAGTTCAGAGGCATTGCCACGATTCTCTCACTGAGTAAAGACATTCCAGCGGTTCCTCCTTTATGGGAGAGAGTTATTAGATGAATGTTTAATATCTGTCACGCAAAAAAAACCCCAGAGGAAATGTTATTTGATAAAATCTGGGTTTAAATTTGGAACAACCTTGATTAAACACGGGCTTCCTTCTACCCTCAGGTCCTTCCAAAGATGACATCCCACATCGTGAATGAAATAGATAATATTCTGGGCAACAAGCCCTACAGCAAGAAGGACTACAGATCCTAATGCAATGCATGAGCTCCCTGGACTGCATGGTTTCCAAGTGCTCTGTACAGCAGTACAGCCCCGAGTTAATCTCTGGTCATGAGAATCATTCAGCACCTGCTGCTCGGTGTCTCCTGTCACTGGACCCTTCGAGATGTGTGCTCTTGCTACTAATCTGCAGTGAAATCTGAAAGCACAGTTGATCTCTCTTCTAAACGAGAATAATCTCGTATTTTCTTACCTTCGACCGAATTCATTAATTTTTACTTTCCTCTTTTTGCACCTCATGCTTGTGCTGTGAAAAACACTTGTAAAGCAAAAAAAAAAATTAATAATTTATAACCTTCAGGTACTTGGTAATTAAAGAAGGATGTACAGATCTATTTTTTCAATGAAGAAAAGCCAGATACAACTTCAGGTTTTAATAAAACCACGTTTGGGAAATCTCAACTATAAAGTTTCTTCAGGTTAACAGATGGAAGGGGCAAGCTCAGACTTTGTTTGCTTTTATATGCTGAATATAAGCTTTAGATTTTGTTTGTAGTTGAATAAAAGCTGTAAGACAGAGAATTAGTTAGAACTTAGATAGTTCAGCTCCTAACTGTACAGTAATTCCAGCTGTGGAGTGCTCCTGGGAAACATCCCTGAGCAGTGTTAGGAAACCCAACCTCGCATGTCAGGTTACTGAACCAACAGCTCTCTGCAAAATTCTACTTCTCCATAAACCTTAAACCAAGAAAGCCATGATTAAATATTGGGTTTTGCATATATAGAAACCTGCCTCTACTTCTGCCTGCTTGTAGACAGAGCTACTGCAAATTTCAATATTCAGGAGCTTTTAAGGATATAGACACTTATAAATATATATATAACTGCTGAGAAACTCCCAGGAAAAATCAGGTACGTATTTCGAAAGGCTACATCTGCTTTATTTTGGAATCGGGGATAAGTAAATGCATAGACTCATTTTAAAAAGATTTTTGTGAGCATTTACAGGAGTTGATAGCAAGGATGTACATATTAATTTGCCCAGCTGAAGAACCACGTTGTACTTTCCCGTGGATTTGCTCTGTACGACTCCTGTGATTTCAGTCTGTATTTCTCATGTCCTTCCTGGGACACAGCTCTGTACAGTATTTGTAGGACCCTTGTACTTTAGTCCCCAAGCCCAGGGCTCACCTGGGCCAGGTGAGCAGCCCCCGGGGCTGAGTTGTCTCCTCCTGTATTCGAAGCTGTGGTCTGTGTAAATGACTCCTGCTGTATATGAGACCTGCAGTCCGATGGATCCTGCTTGGACACAATAAAAGCATTTTGTGCATCTAATTTATCCCTGCAGACTGTTACTGACAGCGAGAGCTGCTCAGAGCCAGCAGTGCTGGACGTGGAAGTGGGTGTGTGTTGTTCCACAGGGAGACTCTCCTGCTGTCCCCAGGAGGGGCGAGGGCCGGTGACACGGAGCAGGGACACGTGGGACCTGGGCTGGCTGCACACCTGGGACAGAGGTACCTCTGGAATCTATCCCTGGGGCAGACACCAGTCCTGAGTAATGCTGTGATGGCCTTGGGCTGAGGGAGGGCAGGGTTAGGTGGGATGCTGGGGAGAAATCCTTCCCTGGGAGGGTGGGGAGGCCCTGGCACAGGTTGCCCAGAGAAGCTGTGGCTGCCCCATCCCTGGGAGTGTCCAAGGCCAGGTTGGACAGGGCTTGGAGCATCCTTGTCCAGTGGAAGGTGTCCCTGCCCATGGCATGGGGTGGGACTGGATGGGCTTTGAGGTCCCTCCCAACCCAAACCATCCCATGGTTTTGGCCTGCAATAAACACCTGGACATGCTCCTGACAGGTCCCTGAAATCCCAGGGCAGTGTCCCAGCCTCTCCAAGGGGACACTGGCCAGTCCCAGCCACCTCCCCATGCACCTTCCCCTGCCCTGGAAACGTCCCCCAGCTCTGCATTATCAGCTGTGAAAGTTAACTAATGTTCATTGTTACAAAGGCTTCAACCAGCACACAGTTAACAGCTTTATTAATTTAAGAGAATTATCTTCCCAGTAGCAGACTAATTTCCCTCCCTCTGGAGGTACAATTTAATGTTCTCCCTTTCCCTTCGCACGTACGTGGGAATCCAGCAGTGTATTAAAAATAGATTAATTCCCAACTTTTTTTAATTGAAAAGGAGATGGTATTGACCCTTACTTGGAGCGAGAGCTTAAAACTCTGAGGGCAATGGGGGGCCAAGCAGCAGCTCAGCTCCAGGTTAACCCTCAGCATTAACTGAAGAAATTTAATTTCAGTCTATTATATTGACTTTTATATATATCATTGCAGCTTCTAGTGCTGATTGCAAGGGGAAAAAACAACCACCACCCAAAAAACAAAAGCAGACAGAATTACAAATAACAAAAAAAAAAGACAGCCCCAAACTTTCCCGAGAAGGCCCAAGATGAGGTTTTTTTGCAGCAACGACCCACCCCACTCCCCCACCTGCTTTTGTTTCAGGCTGTCAGTGTTCCCTCTCCTCACTCGCTGAGCTCCAAGCCTCAGCAACTGTTAATACCAAAAAAAACCTACAGTAGGATGAAAAGCTGTTAATAAAAGACTCAGTGAGGTGACAGTAATAGCAGAAGAAAGTGCTGCTTCCAAGCGCTTCTCCAGCCAGCAGATTTTCTGGAAAACACACCTGTCGCCTGCTAGAACACCTGACAGGACAGTGAGAGCCCTGGCAGTACAACGAGTGTACTGATGTTGTTTGTTCAAATATTGGAATTTAAGTACTGGGTGCTTTGGGAGGACCAGAGCAAAAACCAGCCCCATCAAATCCTGCTGCTTAGAGAGCTGCCAGCTTGGCCTCCTCTTGGGCTCTGACTGGTTACTTGTTGGAGGCTTGTTAGAAATTTGGGTTGTGTGTGCTAGAAAGCCTAAAATACAGAAATTATATCCTTTATAAGAAAGTGATAAGTCAAGCAAAGTACAATTGTGCAAGGCACGCACCAGCAACGTGGAATGTCTCCTTCCTGAGGAGAATGATCAGGCACAAGTGATACAGAAAAATCCACGTATTTTGAGGGGAAGCAATCAAGTTAATACAAAGTGTTAAATGCCTGACCAGAAAAGTGATTTCAAGGGCAGCTCTGAAGTGCACCAAACCCATGGGACTTTTCATGGTTTGAATACAGAAACAGAACAGTTCATACCGGGAAGCAAAGGAAGAGTGAACTGTGCAGGGGAGGGCTGAGACTGGAGACCTCCCAATCCCAAAGGATGCAGACAAGTGTTACAGTCAGTCAGCAGGCACTGGGTAATTAGGAATTGTTTTATGACTGGTTATTTGTCAGAAATAGAGCCCTTTCTGTCTCCTGCTCTCCAGATTCTTCATTTCGCTCTATTTTCCATAAATCTTATTGAAGTAAAGATTAGCAGAGTAATTGTTACATTAAATCTGATTATGAGCTTTCTCCTTCCCTACAGATCCCGAGTCTGTAATGGCAGGATCTGTAACTTCTGCTCTAGAATTCCATTAATAGCAGTGGAGTTTGGCATTAACAGAACAGTTGCTTCAGTGAGAGCAAGAAAATAAGGGACAGGATTGCCTGATAAACCCATTACAAAAAGCCAGCTAAAGCATTTCTGCTAAGCTGTGCAAGGAAACTGGCAGGGCTTCTTATTTATTTGTGATTTTGGACATGAATGGGAAAAAAAAGTACATTCAGACCACTTCAAAAGTGTTTTTCTAGGAGGTTCAGGGTTTTGTCCTGACTACAAGTTACTGAAAAATGAGGAGTATTTCCAATGAACACAGGAAAAGACTCCTCTCTTCTGGAAGCAGAAAGGGCCAACAAACTTACACATGAAAATACCTACTTTTTTAAGAATGGAAATACAAGGAATTAAATGGCAAAAAAGCTCCTTTTTATTACAACTTCTCAAGTTACACTGATAAATGGTGGATTGTCACTTTTGTGATCAGGGAGTTTGGCTCTGAGGCTGCTCACCAGGCACCCAGGGGCCTTCTGGCCCAGGCTGTGGGTACAGCTGGGCAGTGGAGCTGCCCCTGGGCTGCAGAACCATCACCCCTCTGTGGTGCTTCACAAAGGTGAGGTCTGGTCACAGCTCACACCCCATTTCCTTCCCTTGCTAAGTAAAAAAAAAAATTCATTAACTCGCATATTGAATAATACCATGGAAAGTTACCAAAACTAAATACAATTCCATCAGTTTGGATTTAAACCCTCCCCCCCTTACACTCATAATACAAAAAAAAAAATTCCTATTCTGCCCTTAAATGTTTCTATGGCAGTTGAAGTCTCTCACAGAAATAAATTTCTGTGGGGTTTTTGTCTACTTGGATCCTGTGGAGAGCAGAGCAATCAGTCCTGATGAAGCACTTATAGAAAGAATATAGTTTCTGCAGGGAACAGGTTAAGGACATATAATTGTCAAGATACTTCTTTGGTACAGAACATTTAGTAGAAGTTTTATGAAAAAGAAGGAATTGAAATGGTCTTTACAGTTTTAAAACTGAAATATTGTAACCTCAAATACAACTCAAAATAAAGGCATGAACTTACCTTCAAAGTTAAGACACTCAAAAAGTTTAGCCTGTTCTCTTAACATTTGTTTTATAAATGGTTAACTACAGAACATCCTGAATTAACTGGCCTGATTGGCAATAATAATTTCCTTAAAGAACAAAAGATTTTGGTTGTGAAGTTACTGAAACTAAAGCAACCTGTAAGGTAAGAGAACCTGGCAGCTAACACTGACCTGGGGGTTCTGCAGCAGAACAAGCTGCCTCCTCATCCCAAAATTACAACTAAAATGGCAAAGACACAAGAATTTCTGTAGATTGTCTAAGTGATATTCTTAAAACACCTCACGTCACATTCACGTGACTGAGAGGAGGTTTTTTTTGTAAACTCTGCTTTTATGTGACAATGTTCTAAGCTGATGTTCTGCAAAGGACCTGCCCTTCCCAGCAGAGCACAAAGGATACACGGTGGGGTTGAAGTTCTTCAGCACAAAAAACGAAGCGATGATGACCAGGACCAGGAACAGGGTGTTGTTGTAGAAGATGGAAAAAGTTGTCGCTTCATAGTCTGCAACTTCATTTTTCTTCCACAGAATTCTAGGAGCAAGCAGAGACAATATTTCAGGCATATTTAAATCACTGTATATCAGAGAATGACTGACTGCATTGAGTTGGGAGGGACCTTAAAGATCATCTCATTCCACCCCCTGCCATGGGCAGGGACACTTTCCACTAGCCCAGGTTGCTCTGCCCAGCCTGGCCTTGGACACTTCCAGGGATGGGATATCCTGGCCCCCCCACCATTTTGAAGTGTGCAGCACTTTTGTTGTAACCAGCCTCTAGAAGACGGAGGTTTGGGCTCTTAAGCCCTGACAGCTCCCATCCTGCACAGTCACAGTGAGCATCCCCTCTAATCCCAAGTGCATTTGAGACCTTTCCTTGACGACTTGCCCCAGAAAGGCTTTAAGATGAACCAAGAGTTACAGTACAACTTACGCTTTCCAGAATATAGGAAAAACAGGGCACAGTCCCTCATACCCCACCTAGAGCCTTAAGGACATTTAAGGCAGCATTACAACAAGGGAGAGAAGGAAGAGGACAAAGAGGTCACCTTTCATCCTTCTCCTTACGGGACATCTTCCTGTTGTCCGCCTCGGACAGCTTGCGAGTCACCTCCTTGGACACAGCATCCTCTCTTTTCTGGGCTACCCTGTAAGCAACACCACTTATGTTCAACTTCAAAAACTAATAAAAACCCCCACAGCTAAACCCTGGGATTGCAGGAAGTTTTATTTACAGTGAAGAATAAAATGGAGTCAAGACACCGAACAGTTTTGTCAAGTCGAAGGGACAAGTAATAATCAAACTGCTACAAGTAATGTAATTTTGATATAATCAGTAATATAATTTAAATGTAATTTATGGCAATACCCGCTGAGCATGATGGTAGTTCTGCTATTTCACTGTACTCTTAGCTGACAAGACAGGGCTACTCCATAATTACAAGAGACAACAGAAACCAGCTAGGAAATATTTCTGTGTAAAAAAGATTTTGGAGTAACGTTCCAGGCATTCTTATTCATAAAAAATTAAGTTGTAGACGCTGGTTCTGTTAAATTATTAAATAATAAATTCTATTTCCAACAGCCACCAAACTTACTTGTGTTTGAGGACAAACTTGACGTTCTTATACGCAAAAGCCACCAGATAGGTACTGATGAGGGTCATCACGCTGTACAGGACTGCGGACTGAACAAGATCCATGTGCCATATCCTCCAATAAAGCCCTTCGAAGAAGAAAA